ATGGCCAAGCGTGGTTGACGTTAGTCAGCCTTGCTAGGGTGGAAGGTGAAAGTGAGCTTTTTGGGCTCGCTTCTACCCTCCGGCTGGTCACAGCAGACGGAGGGTCTTCTCGTTGTAAAGATCTTCAGACCACGAGAACGTCGTTCCTGGGGTCACCGGATCTATGCGGTTGTATGTGCGTCCATACTACTGGGAGATACCTATATCCTGGTTTCCACAGCGGCTGGTTTCGAAACGAGAACCAACCGTCTTGTCGTTTATTGTCCGGCTACGACAGACAGGGTAGTACATGCTACTTACTCTGTACTTTATTCAAGAAACGCGCGCAGGCATCCAGAAGTGGTAAATATCAAGTCATACTACAATAGCTGGTTTGAGAGAGAGAGAGAGAGTGGTGAACGGAAGGAGGATGATGACATGTATGTGTGTATGTATGTAGACTATGTGTACTGTAGGATATCTGATGGAAGCAAGCAACAGCATGCATGCGTGTCAAGCGAACGGGGCCGAAACAAACACACACGAACGAGTTAGTCTCGAAAGCAGTAGCCTCGGTACACGTACTACCTGCATTTCTCGCCATGTGCTACAGCACCGGCGCCGTCTTCATCCGGAGAATAGTAGTCTAGGCTCTCCCATGACTGACGCCCCCTCACTGCTGTGTGTCCACGACCATGGCCTCTAGAAGGAGCCGCGTTATTTTCTGTAGTCAGACGCACGGCATGACTGTCTGTTTTCATTGGTCAGCGGGTTGAGCCGGGTCGGTCGATGCTAGTTATGGCTACAGAAGCACTACTTACTGCTGTATCACCGCTGTATCACCGCTCGCTCGCGGGGGAAATAAATGATGTGCCTTCAAACACGAAAGACACGCGATGCGTGCGTGCGTACGTGGAAGCACGCCGTGCTGTGCCATAGGCAGCAGCAGGTCTGTTGTGGTCGATCCGGAAGCAAGCGAGGTTCGGCGCAGCGGCAGGATTTTGATAAGAAAGCCCTACTGCTGCTGCTGTAATGTGACTTTATAATTACCACTTCTGGATGCCTGCGCGCGGTTCTCAAAAGGCACAGAGTAAGTAGCATGTACTACTCTGTCTGTCGTAGTCAGACAATAAATGAGAAGACGGTTGGTTCTCGTTTCGAAACCAGCCGCGGAGGGAAATAATGACGGTTCAACCAGCCCCGACTTCAGAGTAAGTGCCTGCTGCACAAGAAAGATGTGACGACACAACACCAACACCTACTGCTTGCTGTATTCCTCGTGGCGATGTGCTACTACTGTGAGAATGCTGCTGTAGCATCGTGTCCCCGATGCCGTTTGTGGTTTGTTTGGGGTTTGTTTGGGGTTTGTTTGGGGTTGGGGCCCCCACGGCGTCGGGGGAGAGACAGGTCTTCTGGGGGGCGGGTGCCTATTGTTAAACATGAAACAACAACCAACCACTGGTTGCCAGTCAAACTCTCGCCGACAAAAAAAACATTGAGAGACAAACACTGTTAGAGCGACTTTGTCGTCGCCAAGCTCTCGCGGGAAAAACAAAAAAACACTGGTGCATGACAGGCGCTGTTTGTGAAGCTGAAACACATCAGATGTGCCAGCCAAACATAGCACCATGCCTCCATTCGGCTGATTTGTAGGCTTGATGTCCCCGCTTTACACAGACTCAAGCACAGCAGTCATGGCAAGTATGCCTTCAGGTTTTATTGTATGCATAGATACATATGCACACGGGGAATAGAAATGCAGCAGGTTGTGAGGGTTGAGTGGGCGCCGCAATGGCACACTACCCGGTCGCCCCGGTGGTCCAGTGGGTAGCCTCGCAGCCTGTTGAGGGCCAGGCCATGGGTTTGAGTCCCGGCAGAGAGAGTTTTTTTCTCACTAAATAAATCCTGGTCTATCTAGGATGAAAGCGACGCGCTGCAGTGGTCGTTGTTAGTAAACCATAATCGACTTCGTACGTCGCGAGGGAAGGGATTGCTGTACCCTTCTCGCGATAAAAATACCTCAGGCATGAACCGCAGGAGGGGGTCCAACCCCCCCCTCCTATGTGACCCCGGTTGGGTCGTCTAGCTAGTAGAAGTGGAGGATAGGGGCCAGAGGGGCAGACGACACAGCAGTCCAATGATGGGAGAAAAACAACAAAACAACAACTGGCACAATTTATTCCCTTCGCAATTTTTTTAAGTCCTCCTTTTTCGCTCAAAGAACGAGACCTTTAACCGCGATGAAAACCATTCATTTCGGGAAACAGGGAAAGGTGTACGGTGCGCGTTCAAGTAAAGGGATTGAGAAAGAGTCGAACGACCGAGCAAAGGCTTACCAGCGGCCTTCAGTGATCGCGGTGGTGCTGGATGCTGCATGTACATGTCGAGCCCATCCAGCGTACGTTATAGCGTCTCAGTTCTTCCATCAGTCACTCATGAGACGAAACTTTGCGGATTTCCATCTCTCCATCTCACACACACGTATCCACAAGCACAGCAGTTTTTTTTGCTTCTTGTTGCAGGTCTTGTGTTCGCCGAATGAGTAGAACGGTCTCGTAGCACGCGCGATACGGGTTATTAAGCAGCAGGTAACCGACCAAACTTTTGCAGATGATCAAAGGGGGGGGTTCTCATGTGGACTGTCTTCTGCGAAGCCCCCAGAATGGTGGGTGTTGCCTGTGGCTAAAGGCTGCTCGTACAACGCCAACACCACACCGAGCTCTGCAAGCAGGAAAGAATGGCGTTCATCGCTCCATCAGTAGGTTCAGGAGCCGCAAGAGCAGGATCATGGAGAACAGCAGGGCACCCACGTTGGGTGCCGATATGGTGGTCGCCGCAGCAGCAGCGAAAGCAGGAGCGGCGTTCATGCACCCCAGCGCATGAGCAACGTACGACATTCGCTGCAAGACCATCCGCGAAGTCGTCGACAATGGCGGCGTCTGATCAAGACGACAGTATTGGGACTGCCGGAGTGCGCACACTTCCACGAAGAAGATCTCTCGGTTCTGAGGTTGTCGCTCGGACTTCGGGTGCTGACCCCGTGGGACAAGGTGAGTTGGTTGTTCCGAGGTTGCAGTTTGCTCAGCAGTGCGGAGATATGTACATCGGCCACCCACTAGCGGTTGAGACCCCCTCCTTCTCCCCTTACTTCACATAGCTGTGGTCTAAGAATTCGCGTAGGGATGATGCTATGAATATCAGGAAGAGGTTTTTGCCTCAACATGTACGGCACACATGTTGGCTCGCCTCATACATATAATTGTACCTTGGGGTCTAATCATGTTGCGAATCAATGTTCGAGAATTATAATGCGAGGAACAGCAGCACGTTTGTGCACATGTTGAGCATACAACAGCAGCCGCCCCGTCCATCGGTTTGGAGAATCAACACGGCGCGTGGTAGCAGAGGTGTGCGTCGTAGACGAAGCCGCGAAACGGCCAGTTGGTATCATTCTACGCCTGAATCGCTGCTTACGCCGCAAAACTTCGAACAATGTTGAATACATGAGATACCACAACCCCTTGGGGAGGCAGTTTGAAAGCCCGACCAAATACTCAGCGGCAGAGGCGGTGACGGTGATGTTAACAAGCGGCGATAGAACCGTCTCGTCGACGGCTTTCCGAAGACACATCATGTGGTTATGGCATCCTCCGCGTGGCGCAGTAACGGAGCTTTCAAGATCGGTGCAGGGTGGGTGGTACAGTTGGCGCCCGCAGTTAAGAAATGTTTTGTTAAGAAATTGAGGCTCACTTTTTCACGAAAAATAAGAAAAACGGGTTAAGAAACATAGCTCAATCTGGGTCACACAATAAGAAATGTCTCAATAAGAAAGGAAGGGAGCGGGACGCGCAAAAGGGTGACAACCCCCAATGTTCGCCTCACGGAGCTTGCAACATAATGACAGGGTAATTTTCGTTGTTGGTACTTCAGCGCGCGGGTGAGGCATCATGCGGTGTTTATGCGTTTGTTTAGTTTCAGCCCTCACTCATGAGGGGGGTACAGGACCTCATAGCGATAGCGAGACGTTGCCGCTGGATACATTTCGCTTCTAGGGAGTGGCCTTACGTGCAGCCGTCGGTAGTGAGAATCGGGGTTGAGTACGGGGGTCGAGGAAAGCAGTGCAAATCATTTGTATATTTGGAACGTTGTGTAGTATGCAAGCAGAGAAATAATTAATTGCCGATTTAAGAAATTCAGCAGGATTTGGCTGCACGAAAAAATTACAAATTTGAAATAAGAAACTGAACGACATACGCTGAGTTTATAGCCCACAATAAGAATTCGAGGCTGGACCTGAAATAAGCATTTCTTAACTGCGGGCGCCAACTGTATCTTATGCAACCTACCGTACACAGGCACAAGAATTTTCTACACTATAATACCTGCAGTACTCGTTCGAGATGTTTTCAAAGGGATCAATTGAAAGGGGTGTTCTCGTGAGCTCTTCAAGGTGAGGATCAAGTATTGTAGTTGAATGACACCTCCTCGACACTGCACCGCTATCTACAATGAGTCTTTTGGAAGCCATACACCGAAGATTAAGATTCCGTGGTACGTAGTACGTACATTCCAGCGCGAGACCACCTACCTCTGGAATCACAGTAATTCTTTGCCAAACCTTGTGAAGAAATGGTGATTCTTTCACCAACAACACCGGCCGGTTAATCTACCGCAAATACCTTGGCTCTCTCTCTCTCTCTCTCTCCTGCTGCCGCGTGGAACAACCATTTGGGTCCTCCCGTCCGTACGACAAGAAAACTCGCGTCTCCATACGTGTGAAAAAACTCGCATGTCCACAGAAAATCGAAGCCTATATCTTTTCCTCGCGCCTCCTCGATGCACCGATGCACGCAAACAAAAGACTGAGGACGTGACATCGTCCGTCCGCCCCCCGCCCCCCCGCGATTTCACGAACATATCACCCCCCGCACAACGCAGGGACACCGAGCAGGGGTTCGAAGCAAGCAGCAGCATCATCAACAACAAGCGAACAAGGACGGACGCCGACAACATATTCCTCTATGAGAGAGGGGGGGCAAGGAGGGCGCGGCGGCGGCGGCAGGGGGGTGCGCAGACGGCGCCCCGGGGAAGGGAGGGGGAGGGGCGCGAGGAGAGGGACCAATAAAGGGAGGGCCGCGTTCGCCCGCTCCCGAGACTTCGTGATGAAGATCAGGGGCATGTCGCGGTGGAACTGGCGAGGGGTGATGCGGGAGCTGGAGGAGGCGGAAACTGTAGAGGCTAAGTTTGGGGAGGTGAGGGAGGCAACACGGACCGCCCCAGCGAGGATATCATTTTATTTTATCTATTACTGCATACAGTCGAGAGAGGAGTTCGTGGCCCTAACCTCCAACCCACACCGGTAACCCCTACTATAGCCAAGCTTAATAGCTTCGCGAAGGCTACTCGGGGGCACGGCGTGAAGCAACACGGGGGGG